GGACCAGCATAAACCAGCAAAGGACCAGCTTAAACCAGCTCAAACCAGCATCCCAGCTTCGACACATACCTAACCAGCATATGCTGTTTTTTTCAACAGGGTGTTCAGACCCTGACGTGACGGTAAGTACTTTACGTCAAAGAGCGTTTTTATAAATATGAACGTTGCCGTGGATTTTAGAGTACGCACACTCTAAGATCAAATCTGTGCGTACACACATTTTATAAATGAGGCCCAAGGTTTCTCAGGGGAACGCACTAGTTTTGGGAGAGAGTGCACAGGCTTTGCAAGCAAACGCAAAGTTTCTTGGGGAAACGCAGAAGATTTGCAAGAGAATGCAAATGTTTCGTGAGCAAACAACATTTCTTGGGGGAACGCTTTACTAAATACGAAATATAATTTTTCCTCCCATCTCATTTTCCCATCACCATTAGTGGCTCTGTAGGGTTCGCACTTACTTTATATTAGGATTGTCAATTAATTGCGACGGGATGCTGTACAGCTCGTCTGCGCTGATGACCAGCATCTTCAGATGGATGAGCTTCGTCACAGTCATCGGCACGTGTCGCACTTTGTTTCTGTGAAGGAACAGCGTCTCTAATGCCTCGAGCCTGATGAGGAGCAGATTCAGCGACAGGCACATGATGAACAGATGATGATGAACAGAAGCACCGCAAACACTCACCTGTCGATGTCCTCCGGCAGGTCTTTGAGTCTGTTGTTGCTGATATCCAAACACTTCAGGCTTTCCATGCGAAGCACGCAGACCGGAATACTGGCAAACTGATTCTCTGCCATGTCCAAGTGCTTCAGTTTTTTGAGATTGCTCAGCTGAAAAAGGAATAATGCACACACAAAGGCGTGTTTAGTAAAGGAATTCATGCATAAGAACACATTTTATATGCTGTCGCACCTCAAAGGGAAGCTCGGCCAGGTTTCCGTTCGCCGTCATCTCTAATCGTTCCAGATTCTCACATTCTCCGAGTTCAGGTGGAATGCTTAACAGTTTATTATAATTCACACGTAATTCCCTGAGGCTGATCAGTTTCCCTGTGAAAGACGAGACGTTTGCATTGGATTTCTGAGATGTGGAGTTATGATTTTAGTATTTAAAGGGGTCATATGATGCGATTTCAATTGTTCCTTTCTCTTTGGAGTGTTACAAGCTCTTGGTGCATAAAGAAGATCTGTAAAGTTGCAAAGACTAAAGTCTCAAATCCAAAGAGATATTCTTTATAAAAGTTCAGAGTCAGCCACGCCTACCTAAAACGGCTCGTTCTGACACGCCCCCACATATCTACATCACGATGTGGGAAGCTTTGCATAACACCGCCCAAATGTTCACGCAAAGAAAGAAGGCGTAACTTTTATTCTCGCTGTAGTATTGTTGCTGCCGCCATGTCGTGAAGACGCTGTGTGTTTCGTTGTGAAAGCGAAACTACTTTGTTTGGTCTTCCAAAAGAGGACACAACTACAAATCAGTGGTTAAGTTGTATTTACAACACTGTTCCAGAACACTTCAACCCAAATATTCAGATGTGTGCAGCACATTTTATGGAGGACTGTTTCCTGATCCTGGAAGAGTAGACTACAATGACGGCTGCTCTGACTCACAGACTGTAAGTACGTTTTCATTTAAAGGATTTGCCACTGATGATTCAAACGCGAGTTTTGGAGATCACAATCATAGTTGGATCACGAATGCATTTGAAAAACATCTTTGATAAAGCTTTTTCCGGTGGTTACCATCCATTTTTTTCCATTCAGCTCAAAAATGAACTTCTTGCTGTCTGCATCATTGTCTGGATGAGAGACACAGAGGTCAGATTCATTGAGTCTCAACAGGAATATTGTTTCAGGAAATTTAGACGAACGACAATTAAACGCGCATATTTGTACAATAAACATTAAAAACAAGGAAATAGGAAATGTATTGCATATGCTAGAACATCAACTAAAATGTGCACTAGAAAAAAATTCTGTGGAAAAATTGAAAAGATATTATGCCACAATATTATTTAAGTTTACAAACAAAGAAAACGCTTACTAAAAAAAAAAAAGATGAAATATTTTGTTTATCTATCTCATGTGATCTTTAACCAACATCAGAGAACTAAAAATGTATTAAAACAAAATAAATAAAAAATGTATTTAAACTTAAAACAACAATAGTAAAATAATAAAAATGTAAACATTTACTTAAAAAGATTAAATATTTTGTTTACCTACATGTAATGTGATATTTACCGACATAAAAAAAAACTTAATATGTGATATTAAAATAAATACAAATATTTTATTCAAATCAATAATACAATTAAAAATTAAACACTAAAATGATTAAATATTGTATGTTTACCTTCATGTCATGATGTGACCATTAACCAACATCAGATATGCAAATATGCTCTTAAATTATAAATCTCAAAAAGGGGGGGGTAAATATTTTATATCAAAGGGGCTCCGAGAGCAAAAAAGCACTTGAGTATCCCGTGTATTGAGTATTAGAGTTTAGGCTTGATTGTGAAATTCCTCCGAATATCCATTTCATCAGGTGACATAATCACTAAAAGTATTCAGTACTTGTATTGTGCATCACCTTTATTCTCGGTGGGCAGGAGTTGTAGTTCGCCGAGCGTGGATCTCTCCAGGTAACACTGCAGCGCTGTGACCTCAGCACTCTTCAGCTTTCTGCACGCAATGCGATACTGCCACTGCTGATTCACCCTGCAGACAAACATCTGCTCAACTAATAGTTTGCTTTTTAATGGGATCATAAGTGGTTTCTTTAGAGCAGGGCTGTTCAGTCCCTTTCCTGAAGGCCGTGACCAGAGTCTAGTTCCAGTCCTAATCAAGCACATCTGCATCAGGTGTGTTTAGTTTAGGTCAGAACTGAACAATCCTGCTCTGGATTCTGGACTGCAGGCTCCTCATCCTCACTTGGCCAGAGCACTTTTACTGATCCGCTCTTCCTCCTTCTTCTGCCGCGTTTTGTACTTCTTCACGCGTCCCTCCCACATCTGTCGGATCAGTGACAGGTCGTACACAAGAATGTCAACGCCGATCCGGTCTGCCTTCATGATGGGAACTGATGCTGAGGAACAGACAAACTGTATGTGAACCACACACACTCACTCACTCACACACACACAAACACTCACTCAATCACTCACTCACTCACACACACACACACACACACTCACTCACTCACTCACTCACACATTCACTCACTCACACACACACACACTCACTCACTCACTCACTCACTCACTCA